ACAACTCACATATGAGTAAATATTTCAACGGAAGTGTATTTTCGCAGCATTTGCACTTAAAGTGCGGCACCGGAGAATCAGTTTTAAAATATATGAATAATTCAGGATTCGCTACAAAATTATACGGGCTGTGACATTAGTACTTTTACGTCGCTAATGGATAAGGAGTCTGTATTTTTAATAATACCAATACCATGACAGCTTATCAAAAAGTCAACGACTGAACATAGTAAAATACAGTGAACATATATTATAAATATATATAATCTCATAATATAATGCCAGAGTAATGGGTAAGAATGAGTCCCGGATACTTAAAATTAAATAAATAATAATAGGCCTCCCCCATCGATTTAATACCTCATAAGAGAGATATTTGCCATAGTTGCCACGCTTAACCTATTTAATAAAAAAAATCAACTAAATCAGTTCACAGTTGCCGAATATATCGTGTAACAAACATATAAAAAACATACAAACGAATTGGATACCTCCTCGTTTTTTTAAAGTCAATTAAAATATATATCAGTGCATCTTTACAATGTTTTACTTTGAAAACTGGATTATCTAAGTAGAGTTGGCTTTTAAGACAAGGTCAGATGGTTAAATCATTATTGTAAGCTCATTTCTCGGGCCCTTTCTGTTTTTTATATATATTAATGACTTACCTGACGTATACGGGGATAATCATGATATAGTATTATTTGCTGATGCCACTTCTTTAATTTTTAATTAAAACTACAATTACTAAAATATAACGAATTAAATAATGATATATCTAAATTAGTAAATTGGTTCAATGTTAATATAATTTGCATTTAAATGTCACTAAAATGAAATGTATGAAGTTCATGACTCCAAATGTCAAACAATAAAATAATAATGTAATTTTAAGCGGGGAGGAACTGAGTCTTTTAGATACCACCAATTTTGTTGGAATCACACTAGACGCGAAGCTTCAATGGAGCTCCCATATATCAAAACTAGCAAGCAGACTTAGTTCTGCAGCATATGCTGTAAAACAAATTAGAAATCTGTGTGTTGAAACAGACTAGTTTACATTAGCTATTTCCTTAGCATAATGTCGTATGGTATTTTGCAATGGAGACACTGGACCAATGTATGATTTAAAGCCTAATGAGTCGCTGTGTCAAAAATTTAAGGAAATTAATATATTATCTTTGACCTCTCAATATATTTATGAAAATATAATGTACGCACACAAAAATAAAAGTTGTTTTACAAAAATAAGTGATATTCATTCTGTAAATACTAGAAACAGACACAAGCTGGGAATTCTAGCTAGTACCAGTTACTCGACTCCACCGAGTCAGTAATTCATTCTTTGGGCGATGTATACGCTTTTACAACAAAATCCCAGAAAATATACAAAATTTGATCTGCTCAAAGTTCAAAAACTTTATTAAACTAAGTTTGTATAAAAAGGTTTACTATAATATTATGGAAATGATAATAACCCCTGGGAATGAGGTGATCGCTACCAAGCTATTTCTAATTTATTTAGTGTTGTTAATTGTGTAAGCTGTTGGTTTCTTGCTGGTGTATCCCAGGCCAGAGGTTTTTTTTAAACCAGTCATGATTAAACAAAAGAGTGACTTTCAGTAAGTATTATTTATACTCTATATTGAATAAAAAAATCTATTTCTATTCCTATTTCTATTTCTATTTCTATTAGTATTTTTATTTCTATTTCTGTTTCTGTTGGTGCGTCTGTTATTGGCTGTGTAACTTTGACTGATTAAGGTATGACAGCTACGCTAAATTCCGATAGGTGGCGCTGTAGTTAAAATAGTTTTATATTTATGGACCTAAATGACCCATTATCACAATATTAAATGATGTTTAAGTGCAAAAGAAAACAATTTTTTTTACGTGGTACAGCCATGCTGCAGCTATATTATTAGTATAGTTATTGCATGAGTGGGTCGGCTCGACCGGGGAAGGAACACGCTCTCACAGAATACGTAAAATAGCAGCTTAATGCTGCTGTGTTTCGTATGGTGAGTGTAGAGAACCGGAGACCTGTTTTACTGGAAAGAGGCATTCAATCTTAGTCCTCACAGCTGACAACGAATCTTCATTTTAATTCGCAAATGAAGATAGATGTAGATGTCTATGGGCCACCGCAACCACTTACCATCAGGTGGACTGTGTGTTTTTGTACCCAATTCTATAAAAAAAAACTAGACCAAATAGGCAGCGCTGTGGTTGAGTTAATAATAAATGTTTGGGATGAAATTCATCGCGCGATCTATAGGAAAGGGCAGAACAACGTTTTCCGGACCGGTTGCCGGTTAGTCTCGCTAAAAGTCGAAACTGGCTCGACAGATTGTGATGAATTTTTTTTTTGTGTTGAGTCCCTGGATAGCTTAGATTTACATTAGACCCAGTAGGTGGAGCTGTTGTCGAGATCCAGAAACCACTCGTGCGAAGCCGGGGCGGATTTTTAGTATAAACTAAATGAAAATCTGCTACAATTGCGGCGCTGTCTGATAGCGGTTTGAGAGAATCCATTACTTCGTTTTTTCCCTCAATTGTCGTAAGGTCAATATAGGAAGAGCCAGAAATACCTCTAGACCCAGCCAGATGTAATTCAGACCAGCGGCGAAAAGTAGCGTCAGTGGTGCAAGGCATCTGATAATTTGATCGCTGATATTTTTTTTTGATTACACCTATTCGAACAATTTTGAAAAATCCTACGTTCAGTAATTTAATAAAAAATGCTTACGACCAAAAATATTTTTTAACGTTTAAAAATCGTAAAGCTTGCTCGTTAGCGGCTATTAATACAGATCATTCAAAAAAACTTGATTTCCTATTATGACAGCCTTAGGGGTGGAAATTTTGTTTCTAAATTTATCTGGAACCACTTCTGAAGTAAAACAATCAAAGTTAATTCAGTATGTAAAAATACTCAGCGTAAAAAGGTAAAAAAAAATTCTAATTATTTACCGTATGTTAAATATCACAAATGAGACGAATCTAACGACACCCAATATGTAAATCTATTTCACCGATTAGAATACAAATCGTGCCGAAGAAAGAAACATACATACTTACATAAATACACTAAAATAGTTTCACAATTGACAAAGACGGAACACACCTAGAAGTAAAAACATACAGTTGAATTCTGTACCTCCTCTTTTATAAAGTTGATTATACGTTCTAATTAACAAGAATAATATAACATTTTTAGTAAGTAGGTTTGAATTATTAACTATAAAATAAACTTGGAAACTACACTAATGCATCCGGTTCATTCGCCTCCAGACAAAAAATAAGATACGTCTCATGTAAAGGCATTTATCGTCTAAAGCTCACGTTAACGAGCGCTACGGTACGTTTTCTTGAAAAATTATTCGCAGCCGGAAAACTATGGAAGCTAAAACTATATCTTCATTACGATTTTCATCCTTCGTTGATATCTGTGGGGAATTAGGGGGAAAATAATATAAAATAATTTGGGGTTTTTATTCTATTTTCTTCTTCCATTTACACGTTAACATAATGTGAACTTTACTTGACTTTGACTTTTTAGCCAAATGAATTTTAGGAAGTAAATTGTAAAAAAAATATAGGTAGTTATCCCAACGTCTACACAAACACAAACCAAATATTGCATTAATCACCTTTACGGCATCCTAGGTGACACCGGTAGAACATTCTTTTATGTTATATGTTCCAGATCAACTTTTTATATGAGGCGTATCAAAGGCAGCTATATCCACCTCGGTATTTTTTTCGTAAAACAGAAAAAACGTTTTATTTTATTTTTACTGTGGCAACACGATGAAAAAAAAACAAAAAAAAGTATTTGGAATGGTGGTACCACTGAACACACACACATTAGTCAATCCAATGATAAAATTACTTTTTAGCGGTAATTTTAAAAGCACTTAGCTGCATTTGATACCAACCAAAGGATTTAGCTGTTTTTGATTCTGATTGTATTGGATATAGCTGTTTTTGTTTGCAATTTTTTGGTGATGACGTCACGAGACTAGTGATGTATATTTTAACTTTTTCTAAAAATTTGGTCATATCGTAGCTATAGTCAACGTTAAAAAGATATGTGTATAAAGTATGTAAATTCAAATGTATAACATAACCAAAATACGTGCATTTTGAAGTGTTTTGAAGACCCACATGTAAATAAAGTAATATTTATGAAAAAGTATTATTTTTATAATTAAATCTTAATTATTTAAATTGTTATACTCTCAAATTATCTTCTTCTGGAACCTCACAAAAATCTCGTATAGTATCGTTTTCTTCTTCAACTCCTCTTTCTTCTAATAGCCGAAGCTCATCTTCGTCTAGAGTATTCAACACGGCGTGGAAATATCTTAAATGTGCAAGATCTTTCCAAGAGTCACCATAGTGTTTTTGAAGAAGGTTTCTGACATCTCGCAACTTTAGTGGATTCACTTCTATGCCAGAAGGAATTATTGTTGGTCGTATAGCTTCAGGTTTTTTGCCTGCTTTACACAAACTTTTGGGGTGTCCAATGTCAGAATTGTAATACAATTCACCACGTACCAACACACTTCCTTGAGTTTTGGATCTTCGAATAATAAATCTTTTACACTGAGAAATTTTGAAGTGGATTTGAGCCGGTGTTTTTGCGATACTGTGAATAGAAGTTTTCCAGTCAAGCACGGGTATATCTCGTAGTTTCATAACTGTAGAGTGTTGACTGATTACATCGACGTACTCTTCTGGAGAAGTGATGACCTCCATTTTTCGGATACTTTTTTCAATATTGCCGAAAACTCGATCAGGCGGCATGAAAGAATGGCCTGTCACGGGAAACACTAGTTCCATTTGCTTTATTTGTCGATTTTCCAAAATCCAACGCATGCACATGGAAATCATAATTAAATTTTTGGTTCAGCTTGCGCATCCATCTGCCACTAAACGGTCGTGGGTTACATGAGTCAGGTCAGTTTTGTTGAGCCTATCGTATACAGCGAAAGCTATTTGGTTTGAACCTTTAGCGTATTCATTTCTATCCAGATGTATGCAAATGTGGTGTTTTCATTCAAGGGATCTTTCGATGAACCCTGGACTACTGTAAAATTATACAGATAAAGCTCTCTGCTGTAGTAACAACTCTGGTCGGATACTTTTGGAAGTACCAAATTCTTTTGGAAATCGAATGAGAACGTAATCATTTGCTCTTTTTTATCTTTGAGTAATTTAAAAAATGCTTGTGTTCTTAGTTTGTGTATCCTTTTCTTTGTCATCAGTTGGCTTTTCTTCGATGGATCATTTTCGTTTTTCAGTTTTTCTTGCAGTTTAATGCATTTCGAGCATACATCCGTCCTTGGACTCCCAAAACCAAGATTAAAGTCCTCATTAAAGATAGATCTAAAGTAAGATGGTTTGACTGGGCTGTTTGGGTGCACTTGTTTAAAAAGTTTAAATAATTTTTTAACATCGAGTTCATTAGGTAGATATTTACGTTGCTGCGATGATCCTCTGCAATAATGTGCTTCAACGTATTTTAAAGACTTTAAAAAGCCATGAACTGATTGTCTTTGTGCTGCATACTTCTGTTTCTTGTGGTCACCGCCTCTTTTTTCTGTAGGAATCCGACCAGATTTAAAAAAGTTTTGCATGACGAACTGAACACGATACTTCGTTATCTTTAGTGTATTTAAAAATACTTTCTGGAAAACTGGACTTGCCTTCTTAAGTGACTTTGCGTAAATTGTGTATTTAATCGCAAAATCTCTACTTTTTCTAGTGTTTTTTACGGGCCGCTTTCTGATTGTTTTCTTCACTGAACAGCACTTTAATATTAATGCATCTTGATGATGTTTGATGGGTTTTGAGTAAAACGATCTGTGAAAATGCACGAGATCTAGTATTTTTAATTGTTTACACGCAAATAATTTAGTGTTATGATTGCAGGTTATGTTTTCTGGCAAAGATTTCGCCGAGTACCTGTGAAACAAGTAAACGCGACCATTACTGTTATAGCTTATTTATTTTCATTTTTTGCATTATAATGTACCTAATTTAAAATACATAAAACAGGATAGGAAAATTTACCCTGAACAACAAAAACATCGATCGATCGATCGAACTCCATCGGGTTAAGTACGTCACTAGTCTAGGCTCACCTGTCAGTTTTCGCTTTGTTCGCCTTCCATTTCTCCGGCTGTCTTTTACGCTTTTTTTCTTTCCCTGGCAATGCTTCTGCTACAGGCACTTCCATTGCACTTTTTAGTTGTCGTTCCACTCGTTTTTAATAAGAAATAGATGCGAAATCCTATTTAATTTCGATAAAAATCACACCCACGCAAACACTGTTTTGTATGAGATCCACCATCTTGTTATTTCGACAATGTAGACCTGTGATTGGCCAGCCGCAATTTTAGCTGTGTTTGTTTCCAAACTGTGTGGATTTAGCTACCTTTGGTTATGAACCGTTTTTTAACGTGAATTTTGGCTGGGATTTAGCAGATTTGGATGCCAAACAATTTTGTAAATTTATTCAAAATAGTATGAAGATTAAGACGGCATTCACAGTTTAAAAACGACTTGTTCTGGATATAGCTGCCTTTGATTCTATACCCCCATAATGAAGTTATCTATACATAAACGCAGTCAGAGAATAGAGAACCTACTGTGTACACAAACAGAACTGAAAAATAATTTTCTCAGTGATAAAATCTAGATAAAAATGTAATGTAAAACATTATCTAACTACAAAATTTCATAAAAATCATTAGAGTAGTCTAAGAATCAATTATTTAAACAAGAATTATTTGTTTAGAGTAATAAAATTAATTTGATGAAAAAAGGTTCCCGAGTGGTGGTCTCGTACTGGCGGACGAAGTGTTGGGCGTCCTTCCACTAGATGGAGAGACGACCTGGTAAGACATGCAGAAAGTCGATGGATGCAGGTGGCTTCAGGACCGTGCTTTGTGACATTCCTTGGGGGAGGCCAATGTTCAGCAGTGGACTTGTTTGTGAATTCAATTTCATTAGATTTAATTTTCTGTATTTGAATAAATTTATTTTTTATTATTAAATACAAATACAGATAACATGTAATACAAACTGAAAGCTATTTTTACTTTTAGATGAAAGAACTCCTCTGTGCCTAGGAGTACGTCTTATAGTAAGTAACCCTCTTATCTATTTTGCCGCCAATAACTAGTGACTGCACTGCCTTGTTCCGGTTTGAAGCATTAAAGTATAAGTCATCGTTTATTAAAGCAAATGAAAATATATAATATATATATATATTTATATATGTTTAAAAAACTAAATATATTTATAACTTAAAATATTTTTTAAGATAGTAATAAATTAATATTGTCATAATGTGAATTGTTCAAAATTATAATTTGCACTGAGTAAATTGAAACCTATTTTATACCGTGATACGTGGATATAAAGATTTATGATTTAAAAATATCTAGTATGATTCAAGGCGGTGAAGCATTCCATCTTGGCGCTCAGATGTGACAACACATCCACACACACATCCACACACACATCCACAACACAGCCTACTGTTTGAAGTTGGCTGTAGGTGTATATATAGGATAAGGTTGATAAACGAGCACACAGTACACCTGATGGTAAGTGGTTACTGTGGCCCATAGACATCTTGATCTATCCTCGATTATGAATCAAAATGCAGATGCGTTGTCATCCATGAGGACTAAGATTTAATGTCTCGTTTCCAGTAAAATGGGTCTCTGGTTATTTACACTCACCATACCAAACACAGCGTTAGGCTGCTATTTCAAGCTGGTATCCTGTGAGAGCGTGGTCCTTCCCCGGTCGAGCCGACCCATTCGTGCTACAACTGTACCAATAATATAGCTGCAGCATGACTCTACCACGTAAGATGTGTAGCTACTGCAGCAGCCACTTGACATCAGGTGGACTACAAGTTTGATTGTCACTTTAGTTTTATAAAACAAAACCTCTACCTTGCTAAGAATCAGCTATAAACGCAGTGGGATCGTTGTATAATTAAAATTCAAATCAGAAGTTTTAATTTTTTTGGAAGTAATTGAAAGTAAAGATTAGAAATGATTTGGGGGGTGACTCTAACTTCAGTCCTAGTCAGTTTGAATAGCCTATCATATAGAGGATGTCTTGGAGGTCATGATTGAATAGAGGCAAAAAGTTCTCATTACACTCCTAGGGGGTCAAAATGGCCAAAAACCAAAAAATTAAAAATTATTTTTTCGGCTATAACTCCGCCTTCTTCGGAGGTTCTTACACAGTCTTTACTTGCCGCATTCTACTTGTTGATAGAACAGAAAATTGTTTCTAATATATTGCGGAACAAACTAAACAACTAAACAATGTGGCACAGATATCCAAACGAGTCCCGGCCTCCGACACCAAAAGACGCTACACAATAAATAACAAAGAGTAATGCCTGTTACCGATCATTATTTTCCCAAATGAAATGAACTCTCACGGAGAGAGCTACAAATAACGAATCACATAAGATCTTGACGTTTATTAACATCATTAATAACATTTATACATCTATTTGTTTGTTTTCTTTCTGTTATTTTTTTTTTCAGATTTAGAAATAGTTTGTTTCAAAATAAGATATTGTTTTGAAATTTTTCTGAATTATCATGTAAAAGCCAACGAAAGAAAGAAATTAAGCAAGAAACATCCTTAACTGAAGCTCAAGAAAGGCGGAGTGCTGCGTACATAACTTATTTTATTTTATGTTGATTATTTTGTAGGTACTTTTTTGTCTTGTGTAGGGTGGGGTACAAGCTACAAATGAATATTTTATTTTCAAATAATCAATATGAAATCAGCTATTCCTTACGCAGACGTAGACACTTTTTGTGTTCTATTGCTTCCACTTGACACATATAGACGGCCAATCAAAAAGTGTTCGGTGTAGGTAACTGGAAACTTTAAGTCGTCAGTTGAAGACACAAGCAACACAAAGCAAAATAAATTTCCTTATAATTGTACGGCGTTGACATTTACGTGGTTGATTTGCCTGTGAATACTGACGGCGACGACGTCTACGTCAACGTGTAATCAACACAAGCAAAGTTATAGTTCCTCCACTGACATCCAAGGTGAAACTGACGGAAAACGAGCAACGAATTGTTACCAGTGTTCAAAAGTAGCAACCGGCGACTGTGTCCGATTGCCGCTACCGGACACAGCGACTAAGGTTTCCTGTAATGGTGTGCCGTGTCGGTAACAAAAAGTGTCCACGTTTGCGCAGCGCCTTACATAAACTATTTTATTTTACTAACAATATGCACAATTTTTGACAATTATGTATTTACTTTGGTTTTATTCTATTGCAACGCCCATAAAAAGTTCCTAAGTGATAGGTACCATTTTGTACGTTTTAGATCCACGCTGCAGCTACATTATGGTTGCAGCAGAATGGGTCGGCTCGACCGGGGTAAGACTACGCTCTTACATAATACCAGCGTGAAATAGAAGCTTAATGCTGCTGTGTTTCGTATGGTGAGTATAGAGAACCGGAGAGCCTTTTTACTGAAAACGAGGCATTTCATCTTATTCCTCGGCGTTATAAAAAAAACTCAGACCAAAAAAGAAACAAGACGGAGCGCTGCGTGTGTTTATTTCATTCTATGTTGTTCTTAAAGATATAATAGCTTTTGATGAATTATTGTATTTTATTAATAGTAATGTGTGTAAGTTTCATGAATTTTTTTTTATTGCAGCGTCTGTAAAAGGTTCTTAAGTGATAAGTATTATTAGTAATTAATTATAAGATATAATTGAACACCTAGTGAACGAATAAATTTGCCATAGTAGCCAAAATTACGCTAAATTATTTAAATTGTAGAAGAAGCCTTTGGACCCCCTGAGCAAAAAGGAAGTTCTCCCGCCGGTCAAGGTAGAAGTGTTACCAAAACAAGTACGAAGAAAAGAAGTTCAAATATTGGACAACGTGAAAAAGGCCATAGCGCTATCAGCGGTCTATGTCGTTAATGAATAAATTTACTCATCAATTATTTATTTCTGGAGTACTGAGTATTGAGTATTTTGTGTGTTCTTACCCTAGAGAGATGAAATGTTTTCTACACAGTTGATATTTTCATAGAGTGACTGTGATGATAACGGAATTTGAAAAGAAACAATAAAAATAATATATATGTTAAAAACAATTTTAAATTTGAAAACATATTTTCAAATTATCAAACTTTACTATTTATTATTCCAGGATTAAAATTTAACGATAGGAAACATAATTTATTGCTTTTTAGTTAGAAAAAATCTAATTTAAAACTGCATGTGCCTTGGGGTTTTTGGTAGATTTTGTCACATTTATCGTATTAAGTATCAAAAATCAATGACTTCGCGGTCTTTGTATTGTCTTTTAGTCAAAGAGATTTAAAGATATAGGAATTAAATATATTTGCTTTTTGTAGATAATATTTGATAAGATAATAAAAGTTTTAAATGCTAAAAAAACATAGGTGGCGCGTGCAGTTTTAAATTCGACTCGATCTCTAAGCATGTATCTCCTTGAAATCAATTTATGCGGACTTTTATTATTAGAATGACTTTTATTTGTCTTGGTGATGCATTCTTGACAAGAAAGAGCATAGATAAAATATTTTTCCTTTTGCTTTTTTTGTTAAATTTATTGCTTTTCACTTTCATCATCAGACCAACAGCCTTTTGTTGGACTCTCACTCACTCATTATCATCAGTACGATTGTGTAACTCTGTTTGGAATCAATACCAATAATATCAAACCACTTCGAAACTGTGTTATTTATAATCAATATGTTAATTCTTTTTTCTTTGAAATACTATTTTAATTTTAAATGACAGCGATTATAATCGATATTGATAGATTTTCAAAATACAACGAAATCAAACGATGAAAAGTCAAAGCAAAGTTGACCATACCCACCAGTAACCAATCACACTGTAGTTTTTTTTAAGTCTTCTTTAGTATTTTTGTGATTTGAGTCGCGATGAAACGAAAATACGACACTAAAAAGAGACAAACATATACATCTATATGATTTAGCTTGCGAGATAATGAGATACAATCTCTACTAATATTATAAAACGGAAGAGGCTTTTATACAAGAGAAGGAAAATGAGCATGCGGCATCTGACTATAAGTGTCGACCGCCGCCCATGAACAACTGCAACACGAGGGGAATTGTAGGTGTGTTGCCGGCCTTTTAAAAAGGAGTAAGTTCGTTTTAAGGAAGT